ACTCTGGATCCACATTCTGCCCATCCAAACCTTGCCCTCTCTCAGGAAAACATGAGGGTGACCATGAAGGACAACCGTAGGGTCCTGAAAAACAGATGCAGTGTGTTGGGTGCCAAGGGCATCACGTCAGGGCGATATTACTGGGAAATAGAAATCAGCAACAGATACTTAAGCGAGTGGGCTGTGGGGGTTTGTAGGGAAGATGCGTATAGGAATGGGCAGTTCAGAGAATGCCCAGAAAAGGGGTTTTGGGTTGTGGGATGTATTTCAAATACACCTTATGCCAGTGCTACCACCCAAACATTCTTATTTGATAAAAAGTTTCCCTGCCAGGTGGGGGTTTTCCTGGACTACGATGGTGGGGATGTCTCCTTCTACAACATGACCTATGGGTCTTGTATTTTCTCATTCTCTCACGTTTCCTTCTCTGGGACCCTCTTTCCATATTTCATGATTAAGTCAGGAACCCCATCCCTCACTATCTGTTCCATGGTAGGTGGGCCCAAGGGAACACCTGTGCTTCTTAACAAATTGCCTTATTTTTTGAATGAGCTAATGAGCCTTCCAGAGGAGGGGTGGAGTTCTGGCTCCAGTGGTGAGGATGTTTTCCCATGGGTTGAATCTCCATTACTCCCTTCTGGCTCCAGGATTGGCCCCCATGAGGACCTGTCTTGGTCTGAGTCCTCTCATTATGACTCAATTTGGAACTTCAGACTCCCCGAGATGGAATGAGATGAGTGCTGGATGGCACTGAGAGTCATGTGGGTGACTCTGAGAATTGTTGATTCATATCTTGTGTTCCTGTAGCAAGAAGAAAAAAAAATGACTTTTATTTGAGTTGGTTCAGTGTTGGTAGAATTTGGCCGTGGAAGTTTATTTTACTTTGGTTATGAAAAAATACTCTGTGAGCATTTTATATTGTTTGTATATGAAAGGAGAGGGGTTGAATCCTCTGAAATGTAGTTTGCTTTATCCCACTGGACTTTGTACTGAGTGTGGAACCCTACCGCTATTCTGAGGGGCCTAGGCAATTTGATCAGGAAGCATCTATGTTCAGAATTTTCCTGGGACATTGTGGGTTGGACTTATAAGATCAGAGAATTGCATATATTTTTCATATACTTATTCTTGGATAGTGGAAACACATCTCTTTTTCCCAAATCATCTATAAAATTCTGCTACTCGTGAACACACTGTGTGTGTTAATTCTGGAAATTGAGAAGCAACTGGGTTCCTGTTTTGGTCCACACTAGGTAGAAAGAAGAGACCTTCTAACAAAATGAAGATGTAAATGGACAGGAGAATATTCTAGAGTAGAGAATTGCAGAGAGCTTTGACATGAGCATTGTCTCAGTTATTGGTGTTAAAGGAAAATGGAAATTCTCAGTATCCCCAAAGGGACAGGACTGCTGAGTACTGAGACAGACCTTTCAGGAATGAAGGTGTAGTCACTCCACCAGGTAAAGACCTCTGAGGTTCTGGCTGAGGGTGGGGAAAACAAGGAAAAGGAAGTAGAAGAGAGAAGTCAGAGATATCAACTCTGGAACCAGTTACATAACAAGAACTTATCTTTGGTTCTCATGTGTATGTGTTTATTCATAAAAATAAACTATTGTCTTCTCTCTCCAATTTATTATTTTATATACAAGTTGGTAGATGTTATGTTAATTATACAGAATATGATAACAGACTATCCAATGAAACTGTAATTGAATTTAAGGAGTTAATAATTTAGCAGTGGCTGGAACTTGTTTTGAGAAATGAATGAGAACTTCTTGACTTGTAAGGATAGCTTTGCCTTGATGGGTGAAAACAGAGTAGTTTTGTTGAGTGAATGTTCAAATGTGTGTAAAATGTTGTATGTATGTGTAAGCTGTATGTGGACACAAATGGGTTGAGTATGCCTATTATCAATTTAAGAAACTCTGGTAGTGTAGTGGTTACAAATTGGGCTGCTAATCTCAAGGTCAGTGGTTTGACACTACCAGCTAGCTGTTCCGTGGGAGAAAGATGAGGCTTTCTGCTCCTGTAAAGATTTACAGCCTCAGAAACCCTGTACAGGGTCGCTATGAGTTGGAACCGACTCCACGGTACATAACAACAACAACAACATTATCAATTATTGCCTCTCAGTTCCAGTTCACCCTGTCTTTGACCTGCTTTTTGGTACTGCAGCTGGACCCTGTAAACATTTCTTCTTTGCCAGTAGGCACAAAGCGGGACATTGTCAAGAAATTGGAGATAACACTTCAACATGCAGAGAAGTGACTTCCCCTGGTTCTAGACTTTCATTGCTGATCCTCTCACATGTGGGCCTGCAGGGTGCAGAAGGCCCAGGTTTGCTCATCTTTTGGTGAATTTGACTGACATTGCAGTATGATGCCTCTCAGGGAGTTTTAAGAGCACCTAGAGGGTACTTCCCAGGAAAACTCGCTAGTAATCCATTTCTGAATGTTAGTCTTGTTAGGGGGTCGTCTCCAAAGTTTCTTCCTTTCATGGTGTCTTATAAGGTCTGGGTTCTCTGGAGAAACAAAACCAGTGCTAGTTATATGCATATAAAGAGAAGTTTATATCAAGGAAACAGCTCACAACTATAGAGCTAGGAGAATCCCAAGTATAGGCCAGGTGAACCAAGATCAGCGAGAGGCCCAACAGGCAGGAATCACAATTTAGGCCACAGAACAGGACCTTGGCACTGGAACAGGGGTGGCAGTAGGGTGATGGTTGACCAAAGCCTGGGCAGGTGCACTGCAGAACCGGTGGTGTGGAGCACAGGAGCTGGGCCAACAGCAACAGGCTTGCAAGGTCCTTTGATGGACATCCAATTTCCCAGGCACACTCAGTGGGCAGACCTGGCAAGCAAATACACAAAGAGAAGGCAACTGGCTCAGGTTCAAAGAAATGGATGTTGGAGAATGATCCACATGCAAAATCTGGACCCAGCAGGGAAGAAGAGTACGAGTCATTCTGCATGTCTGTTATATTGGGAGCAGGCCACACCCCTAGGAAAACATCCTTTCGATTGACTTCTCATAGCCAATTATCATAGAGTTAACTATGAACTGCCAAACAACTTGACACAGAACCTGACTATCTCACATGGGTACTCCCTATATGTCTAGTTTTGTATTCTTCAGATTTTTTTTTTTTTAAACCTCTTTTAGTAGTTAAAAACCTCTTAGTACTAAGCATATTTTAAAAAATCACTCGACAGCACTTGACAACAACATTGGTTATTTAATGGTGTGCTGTTAAACTCCCTCATATTTATATATTCTGGTTTTCTTTCTATTAAATGCTAGTTTCATTCTATTGTGGTAGGATAAGATACTTTTATGATTTTATTCTTTTAAAACTTGTTGGGACTTGCTTTGTACCTTAGGATATAGTCTGTCTTGGAGAATGGTCTTTGTGCCCTGAAGAATAATGCATATTGTGCTGTTAATTGACACTTTTTTTTATATTAAACATTTATCTTTTCAATTGACTGATATGCTTTCTGTTTCTTTACTGGACTCTGACTGATATAAACCTATAAACCATAATGTTTCTTAAAGGAGGGCATGGAACTTTTTGCAATTTGTGGGAAAGTGTATGTGAAGCACTCACAAATGTATTAAAAAGGTTCACTCCTCCAGTAATGTCATGGGAAATGTGTTCATAGGGGCCCTTGTTGAACTTTAAGTACATGCTCTGGTAGCATAGTGGTTTCAAATCGGGCTGCGAACCACAAGATCAGCAGTTCAAAACTACCAGCTGTTCCGCGGGAGAAAGATGAGGCTTTCTGCTCCCATAAAAATTTACAGCCTCAAAGACCCTGTCTGTACAGGGTCTCTATGAGTCAGAACTGACTCCACGGCACATAACAACAACAACAATGATTTCTATATGCTAATATAAGACTCCCTTATGGAACAGTGCTTTAGTCCTCGTCCCCATCTGAAAGATCTGTGGTTGGAATCCATCAGCAGTTCTGCAGAAGAAGAGACCAGACAATCTATAAAGATGAAAGCCTAGAAAACCCTATGGGTGCATTTGTACTCGGTCCTATAAAGTTCACATGAGTAGATTGACTGGATGGCATGCAACAACAACAACAACAACAACATGTGTTAATATAAGTTCTCTAGTGCAGGAGTTCCATAAGATAAGCATAGGACTGTGAACCACAAGGTTCACATTTTGAGCCCTTCAGCTGCTCAGCTGTTCAGATGAGGCCTTCTGCTTCTGCAAAGATGTAAAGCCTGGAAACCGTGAAACAGGGTAGCAATGAGTTGGAACTGAATCAACAACAACAAAAGGCAGCACAAATTACTTGTGACTGTTTACTTAGAATTTGGAGGTTGGAACTCACCCACCAGTACTGTAGGAGTAAAGGTTGGATGATCTACTTCTATTAAGATTACAGCTAAGGGAACCTTATGGAGAAGGGTTTCTACTCTACAACACATGGGGGCCACCAGGGGTCAGAATCAATTCAACAGCAGATAACAACAAAATCATGTGTTAATATATAATCTGACACATTTATCTCCATTTTTGTTTAGCTCGTACCTTTTTGATGCTGTATTACTTTTGGAAGCGCTATGGGCATATCGAGGCCTGGTGTGGTGCTGTAGGATAAGCGCTGGATGTTTGGTCAAAAGGTAGTCAGTTCAAACCCACTAGATGCTCTGAGAAATGCTGTAGAGTGGTGCTATGAGTTGGAACTGACTCGACGGCATATGACAACAACAACAACCACGTGGGCATATTAGGAACCCTGGTAGCACAGTGTGTTAAGTGTTGGCCTGGTAACTGCAGTGTTGGCTATTCAAACACATCAGCCACTCCACAGGAGGAAGATGAGGGATCAACTCCTGTAAAGGTTTATAGCCTCAGATAACTTAAGGAGTAGTTCTACTCTCTCTCGTTGTTGTTGTTGTTGTTAAATGCCATCTAGTCAGTTCTGACTCTTAGCAACCTTGTATAGGGTTTCCAAGGAGCGACTGGTGGGTTTGAACCACTGACCTTGCAGTTCAAACTGACCTTGGGGTCAAGTGCTTATCCTAAAATGCCATACCAGTACCCCTGTCTCCCTTACTGGGTTACTGTAATTTGGAATGGACTCAACGACAGTGGGTTTGGTTTTTTAGTTTCAGGGCATATTCCTTTGAAATAGGAAGAATGGTATGCAGATGATAGGACATGAAGATATGTACACAAATAATAACAATAAGTTTAGACAATTCCCTAAATAATAATAGAGTGATTAATGTCATCACTAACGGTAGAGCTTTGCCAGAATAAACTGACAATGTGTTTATCTTGAAGGTTATATTTATTAATGTTGCAAAATGCTTTTTATCATTGCTGATGTTGAGGAAAGCATTTAATTATACATAAAGTAGGCTTATTTCCCAGACTGATTTCATTGCGTTCACAGTCCAAGCTGTAGATTTTCTGAATGTAATCTCCCATATTTCTTTGTGCTAAAGCAGAGTTCAATGTATTTCTTCTACAACCACTTGTCTCCTCTTTTCAGGCTCAGGTTCAGTCAAGCCCCCTCTAATTTAATGACCTCAAATGTGGGAGTGCAAACTAACCCTATATATAGCCCATGGAACCACTTCACAGAATGGTGCTGTTGGTTCTTGTTTGAACAGTATTCCATTTTCTGTAGTTCTTTCATGGTTTTTACCTTTTTAAATTTATTTTACCATATCATAGTACTACCTCAATAGTTTCCATTAAATCTTTCATTGAGATTGTTAAGAAAAATTATTAAAAACCTGAAAATAAGAAATCTTACTGGTCTATATGATATTATCCTGGTTAAATGTTGGTGTTGTGGCTCTGCAGGGTCGTAGGTCTGAAGCTGCCGGGGACTGGCCTTGACATAGTTGTGTTGTTCACGAGTGTTTGGTTCACAAGGAGGGGAGATCCAGTGGCGATAGGGATAGCAAAAGAATACACAGAAAAAGACATAGAGGGGGACAATGAGACACCCCAAAACCAGGGTGGATACATCACTGGTGGGCAGACTTGGGACTACAGGCATCATGGCCTCTGCAGGCAGCAACGCACTGCTCTGCAAACTGTACTGCCTCGCTGCATGCTGTAATGCACACCTGCAAGCCATAATGCATGGCCTCATGCCGTAATGCACACCTGGTTCCGCCTGTCTCAGTTTTATTTGGGGGAGGAGCTTCACACCAAGCTCGGAGGGACTAAAACAGGATACAGCTAACATCAGTAATTTTCCAGACACTCAGATAACTTTACATCGTACTTTGCTGGTTTGAATCCCAGGCCCGCAACTTGGTTTCTTAGGCTCAATTAACATATGTATAGCCACTGAGCTCAGTTGGATGAAGGTGACAGAGAAGGACAAAAGGCTTGGGAGGGGTCCTGCTGTGTTGGCTCCCTGAGCCAGGTTTTCAGGAAGACTCGAGCTGCCCAGGTGAATGGGCTGCACCTGGAAAAGGGAGGATGGTCTTTTGTCCACAGAACAAAGAACCAGGAAGTAGCCAACCTAATTTTAGTTAATCCTTTGGAGAAAAGCTTTACCCTTGAAACCTTTAGTCTCCACTTTAGGTGGTTTTAATATTTCTCTGTGGATAATAAGGGCTCATGTCTGCATTTAATTGTAAACATAACTGAATATCAAGATTAAAAACAATTTGCAACGACTGCCATTGGCCAGAATTTGTTCCTCAGAGCCTGCGGCCTATATAGTCTACACATGGTCTGCAACATGAAGCCAAGTCTACCTGAATCCAGGCATCAAAGTGGCCCACCAAAGGGCTGCAGCATACCCCTATATCACTCTAGTGTGGCTTCCAATCACATGGCTTTGAACTCCTGGAGAGTGGGGTCTGAGCTGGGAATGGAGGAGGGCGGGAGCTGGCCACCTGTCTGATCACCAGGGGAGCAGGAGGAAAAAGAAGAAATCACCTATGTGAATCTGTCACCTATGTGAATCTGCTCTGCCAGGCCACCTTTCTGTTGTCAAAGCTTTCCACAAGATGGTTGTGCTCATCTGGTTGGCTGTTCACCTGTTTCCCTCTCTTGCCATCTGTACTCAGTTTCTCCTCCCAGCGAGCACTGAATCCACTTCTCTAACCTTTCCTGTGAAGTTCAAGTTTCCAGGATTTTAATCTGTGTCTGTTTCATTTGGTCTCTTGTATCAATGTCAAGAAAACAAAAATCCTCACCACTGGACCAATAAACAACATTCTTATCAATGGAGAAAAGATTGAAGTTGTCAAGGACTTCATTCTTCTTGA